AGCGAAACAACATATCGAAACGAAATTACAAAACAAAACTTCTTTATTCCAGAGACTGTTTCAAGGGCAATAATTTGACCGCAAGACCTTGAAAGACTCCATCAATATATCAACACGTTTGCCATTCATAATAATGATATAGGTAAAATCTACTTGTAATAATAATTCAATGATAGATGATATAGCAATATATCATCTATCATTTACTTTTTCTTTCATTTAGTGGTTTGTTCGATCATTCGTTCATTCTTTTATTCATTTTTTGACCGTGTGCTTGTCAATTTCCTTACCTCTTCATTCCTCCGTTCATTCGTTTTTCTTTCTTTCATTTTTTTTTATAATTCATCTGTTTATCTATTCATCCATCCATTCACACATTCATACATACATTCACTCACACATCCATTCACTCACTCATTCATTCATTCGTTTAGTCAGTCAGTCAGTTATTTGTTCATTCGTTTGTTCGCTCGTTCATTTATTCAACTGAACATCAAGTCCATTAAACCGCGAAATTGGCCGACACGTGACTAACTGGTCCGTGACGTCATATTAACGAAATAACAGAAATAAAAAGGGTTGGTGATGATAATGATGACGTCTACCGTCCTGATGATGATGAAGATGATGATGATGATGATGATGATGATGATATAGATGATGTGAATGATGATGGTTATGATGATGATGGCGGTAGATTGTAGAACTATGAAGATGATGGTCATGATGGTTATATTCATATTAAAGACGGTATGATGTATGGATGGGTGGATAAATGAAAAAATGAATTTGTGAACGAACGAACAAACGAACAAATTAACAAACAAATGAAAAAAATGGATAAAGAGATGGATGGATGAATTAACGAATGAATGAATGAATTAATGAAAATTTAAAACACAACCAAAAACACAACGGCTAAAAATCAATCAACTCAGGCAAATAACCATTACGTAACTATTATTAGAAAGGCGTGACCCAAATACACCCAGCCAATCGGAAGAGTCAAAAAATCGAAATATGCCAGGTCAACACGATGATAATTAGGCCAGTTTGCTGCGTTATCATTGGCTAATTAAATATTTGATTGACTGATTGGTTGTGAATTTAAGACGGAATTTAATTATTCAAATTGAAAAAAGATTTTTTTTTCATTATTAATGATGGCTTTTTTAATACTCGTTATGTTTGGTCCACAAATCAAAGTTAGTTTTTCATTTCATTTGATTAAATTAATCATTTATTTATTTATTCTAACAATTTATATGATAACATTATTTTACGTATTATATAATTACACATATTTACTCAAATTTGAAAAAAATTTTCTTATGAATACAAAATTAATAAGAGATTTTGAATTATGTTTTTAGCATTTAAATAACTAAATATGAATTTCTTCGTTAACTGAGAATTCGTTGATCTAAAAACCTAAAATGTACTAACGAAAGAATCTTAGAGTGCTATCATCCGAACAATAGCTACTGACAATAAAGAACAACAATTTGAAGCAATTATCGAAATTGCTGGTTTGCAGGTCAAAATTGATAAGAGGAACTCCTCAACTTTAATTTTTTAATTGTTCTGATGGGTCTGTTTTTTTTAAAGTTGATATATTTTGGGGTTTTTGATTCATAATCATACCTTAAGGTAATAATGAAAAAAAATGATGTTGTTGTTGTTATTGATCCAGTTGTTGTTGTTAAAACCAGAATTATGTTAGTATAAAAATCATCATTAAAGTCATTGTCGTCATCATCATTGTCATCATCATCGTTGTCATCATCATTATCAACTTCGTGGTCGTCGTCATCATCATCATCATCATCTTCTTCGCCATCATTACCAGCATGGAGTGTGGTCACATCAGTGATTGCATTATCCGGCGCAAAACAATTTACGAAAAGAAAAATGGCATCTTCTTGGAAGGCGAATAATTTTCTGACATCGCCAACATTAACATCAACCACATCAACAATAACATCAACAACATCAACAACAACATCAACCACATCAACAATAACATCAACAACATCAACAACAACATCAACCACATCAACAACATCAGCAACCATAACATCGACAAAAACATCAGAAGTTATACCACCAACACCAGCAAAAACATCAACATCACCAAAAACATCAATGACATCATCCCGTGATTTGTCTACAACAACAATAATAACAACAACAACAACAACAACTTCAGTGACGTCATTAACTGCATTTACATCAAAATATACAGAACCAGTAACAAGCGTGTCGGCTTCTGATACACTAACAACACTGCTTGTGCAACCGACAACTACATCATCATCATTGATGTCGGCGAGCGTTTTCGCTAAAACATCAATGCCAACAACAACGATCATTACATCAATACCATTAACTACTACAACATCAATAGTTACAAAAACAACAGCGACAACATCATCATCATCAGCAACAGCAAAGACATCAACATCTGTAACCTCAATAAACGTTTCATTTATGAAAAGGGTTCAGTCAATTGAGCTGGCAAATCAAACAAAAAAGTTGTTCAAACATTTGCCTTCACCAACAAAACAGTCCTCATCATCGTCGTCATCATCATTATCATCATTCTCATTGGTTTCGTTATTGTTCTCTTCCTCCTCCTCATCATCATCATCATCCATTTCATCATCATCATCACTTCACTTGCAAAAGTTGCCGGCAATATTTGTTAACGCAACAAAACCATTTTACTCATCATCATCATCATCATCATCATCGTATACAACATCATCATCATCACCACTAACGCCATTTTTATTATCATCAATATCATCATCATCATCTTTATCCTCATCATCATCATTATCATCGTCTTTATCATCATTATCGTCATCATCATCATTATCGTCATTACCACTTTTGCCGACATCATTACTATGGCCAGTCAGTCCTCAACTATACAATTCTCCATTTTTTATGCCGCCAACCATTCCACTTCCGGTTCCGTACTTCCGGTCACCTTTTGCTCTTTTTCTAACTCCGCGTATATCTTCATTAGGCGGTTTCCATGACAACAACTATTATCATCATTATCGTCATCATCATCCTGGTGATTACTACTATCATAATCATCCTCACCGTCATCATGATCATCACCAAACACCCCAACCTCTTGGTCATCATCTTCATCATCATTACAACCCCTTTAATTTCAATCTACTCGCCAAAGATGATTGTAATCGTATGCATAGCAATAGTAGTATTAATTGTAACATTGAATATAATTTTAATAACAATAATAATAATAACAACAACAATAATAATAATAATAATAATAATAATTCCGCCAAAAAGACAAACTCCATTTATTTTCATTTTGGGAGTGACGAGAGTTACAACGGCAAAAAATCCGCCACGGCAAATATCGGAAATCATGTAAACAATGATGACGACGACGATGATGAAGATGAAAGCAACAAATACAAAAATGTTTTTTTATGTAATAACAACAACAATAACAACAACAACGACAACAGCAACAACGTCTACTTGAATAAACGTCTGCAGACACATCGCACAGATCTAAGCGATATGATTTATGTTGATGTCGACAATGATTGTAGTAGTAATAGTAGTAGCAACAGTAGTAGCAACAATGGCAGCAGCAACGACAATAACATTTACAATAATGTTATTAATGTACGCAACAACATCAACAACGATTACAGCAACAATGACAACAGCATCGCATTTGATTTGCACACCAGGAAACATTATTTCGACCATACAACAACTAAAACGTCAACAAATACTCCTATAAAGTATGCAAATATTGTTAATGTTGATGACATAGCTGACATTAACAACATCAACGCATGCAACTTGGCTACTGATAACATTAACGAAACCATCAGTGAACAACTCAATACATCAAAAGACATTTCGAAACATCTGTATAAAACAGACCACACATATGATCATGCTGATTTTTTGGACAAAGCAAATAAAAGTAATAACAACACATGTGACCGTTTTGAAGACAGCAAAAACCACAACAACCACACTAATGTTCACATTAAAAGTGCCAACACATACAGAGGAAAGTATTCTGAATATGACAACAACATGCACCGTAACATTAGCCCCAATAACAACAACAACAACAACAACATTACCAAAACGTACTCTAATAAGCAGACCATCAATAAAAATAATTCGTTGGAGATTAGTGCTAATAAGAGAAGCCGCGGTGGTAACGATGCGAGCGACAACAACCCCAATTACACTAACTCCATCTCCTGTAGGTGCATTATGCAAAGAGTCCTTGCAAGACATGTTGACAACAATGTTGAGGAAAATGTTGGAAATTTTTCTGACGACATTTTTATGAAGAGTGTTGAAAATAACTTTGTCAACGATGTTGATTTTAATGTTTTATGTAAGAATAATTTTGGAATTGATGATTGCAGTGTTTTTAGGCCAGAAGATTATTTCGCAAACTTTTCAAATTTTTTAAAGTTACAAAACAACAATGAAAGATCCGTCAACACCATCAAAAATAAAAATTCAGCCAAAAACATTAACAATAACATCAACAACATTTTCAACAACAACAACAACGTCAATACAAACAACAACAATCTACTTGACTACAACAGCCTTTTAAATGACAGTTGCAGAAGTAACGCCTCCAACTACATCTACACGAACTGCATTAATAGCGGCAATAACAACAAAACAGGACAATGTTTTGATAACAATTTCAACAACAACAACAACATTGAAAGTAAAATCTGCAACAAATTTAATCTGAAAAGAAACTTTCCAAACAACAAAAATAGAGGCGGGAGCAACATGTCTAACAGCCAAAACGAGACTAGCACCAACTCCACAACATTATTAACAACAACAACAACATCAACCGCACCAGCAACGACTCAGAAAAATTAACACGTGACAGAGCAAAGAGATCACGTGACATGAATGATGACGTCACATCCGTTTCCGCACGTTGCTCCAGGAGGTACACGTGTGATATTTGCGGGAGGTCATTTTCAAGGACAAATACTCTCGTTACGCATAGGGTTTGTGGCGATGATGTGGTTATGATCAGACGGTTGCTGTGGTTGTTGCTGCTGTGATGATCGTGGTGGTGGTGGTGTGGTGGTAGTGATGGTGATGATGATGATGACGGTAATGAGAGCCGTAATGATGATGATGACGATAATAATATTTATGACAACACGAATAACGATTTAATGGCGGAAAAGTCGTTAATCATGCCGATGAAGATGACGACGACGACGATGATGATGAAGAAGATGACTACGACAACTACGATGATGATGATAACAATGATTTTGATGACGCGTTGATGATGCCAAACATGTAAATAGTAGTAGTAATATAAAGAATAATAATAATAATGAGACGAAGGAGTATTCTAACCGAACTTGTTACATGGAATGTCTTCTAATTGACGATGACCTTGAGGTCAATTAAGTTTACATTGGTTACCATATCAATTGTAATAAAAATGTAATCATCAACTACAGACACAAATAAATTTTTGTCCTTGAAGAAGAAAAAAAGATAACAATGACATTAACAGCATCTATTTTTTATGGTAATTACAGCTTTTAACCTCCGCTTAAATTGTTTCACTAGTGAACTCACACACACACACATACACACATATACACATCTACAAACACATACACAACTCACACACACACACACACACATATACAACAAAATCATTACACACACACACACACACACAGTAGAACACACACGCGCATATATAAAAATCACAGCGCACGTTCAAATCTCTATTGAGTTCTTTTCTAAGGATAAGTTCATAATCCGCACAGTGCAAGACGGAGCCTGCAGAAATTTATACTTTACGAGCAATATAAAAACTGAACACCATACCCAGGATGTAGGCACGTAGATTTATGAGACACTTAATTATGTATGTACTCTGTGCATTTATTTATAGCGGATATGTATTTTTTGTCCTCTTAATTTTTTTATATAATTTCTTCATGGCTTTATAAAAGATGTGAGGGAATTTACGAGCTATGAGATTTGGTTGCACTTTGGATGTGATCGCTACCTGTTGTAAATAAGGTGGAAAGTTTGCTGAGTTTTTTATATGGCATGACGAATTTATGGTCATTTAAAATATTTTTGTTTGTTTAGGATAAATGTTCAAATAGATTGAAACATAACCGATCAAACATAAGCTCACTCAGTTCCTTGTGTATTTACATGTTAACTATTTAATTATTTGGCTATCGAGACATTGACATCAGGTTCAAACGCATGTTCGTCCAATCAAATCTTTCTAAAATTTGTTTTAACATTAGCCTGAAAGACTGTCTTCCTTTTGTTGGACAGTTGAATGAATTTGTAAAATATATACCAAATATGAACTTGAAAATTAGGCACAAAACATAATCAAATCTTAAAATTATACACATATTTATACAATTTAAGCCAAACACGTAGAAATGAACTTATTGGGAAAAACATTTCTAGAAACGAAAACCAAACTCAATATGAGAAAAAACCTGCGAAAAAGTGGTGAAAAAAGAATGAGAAAAAAGAAAAGTGGTTAAGAAAACTGCATACAAACCACAAAACATTTTAAAAATAAAATCAGTTTTAAAAACACTTGGAAGCATTCGCTCACTCATTCATTGTCAATCAAACGCTTGCCATCCGCTAAACTTATCTGCAAACATTCCCTAGCACACGTTCACACAAACGAGCACACACACGCACACATACACACGTACGTACACACAAATTCACGCTTACCAAACCATACAGAAAAACAAATCAACACACATGTAGATAAGAACGTATAAACTATGAAAGCTGAAACAATTGCACGCACACATACAGTACACACGCACGCACACACACGCACACGCATATATATATACATGTAAAAACATACAAACACATGCATACACACACACACACACATACAAATACATATGCACAAACAGTCGTAATGCAATAAAACCTAAGAATTTCTTTTTCGCGGAGCAAACAAACTGCGCAAAGCTGTGGAATAATAATAAAAAAATGGCAATAAAAATAACAGTAGACAGGAAAATAATAATAAAATGAATAATATTACAAATGAAAAAATATTACAAAGTAGAAAAAGCATATTAATAAATATTTGCGGCGCGTTTTACACTTGTCAGCAATTCGGACGTTTTCTATTGGCTGTGACGTCACACGACGTTTGATGACATCATAATGCTGATAAGAAGAATTTTATTGAAAGGAGCGGTAATAGTAGTAGTGCTGGTGATGATGGTGATGATGATGATGATGCAATCATATTTTGGTTCGTACATATGTATGGTTAGTGCGTACGTGTGTGTGTGTGTGTGTGTGTGTGTGTGTGTGTGTGTGTGTGTGTGTGTGTGTGTGTGTGTGTGTGCGTGTGTGGTTATAACATCATTTCTACTATAAATTTTTATACATGAGTTAAATATTTTGTAAAAAACAATAATAATACATTTATCATTTTGTTTTATAACAGGTTTTTTTTAATAAATTATATTTTTTAGCTAGTTTTTTGCAATAAATTTCAAATTGTCTACTACTGAATTTTTGTTAAATTATTACTTAAAGTTGTTTCAATCATAAAATGACATTTCTAGAGAGTTAAAATTCCATTTCATCTGTTAATTTTGCTATGTTGCTAATGCTAATACACCAAAGAAGCTATTTTCAGTTTCTAGAAAACGGCATGAATAAAAATTCTCAAAGAAGTGTAATAATAACTCAATGTTTTAATTGTTATCTATGAAGAGATATTTAACTGATTGATTAATGGGTGAATGAATGATTGATTGAGTGAGTGAATGAGTAAATGAATGAGCGAATGGATGGATGGATGGATGGGTGGATGGGTGGATAAATAAATTAACGAACGAACGAATGAATAAACAAATGATTGATTGACCAAAATTCATTTATTGATTGATCAGACGGAGAAACTTCTCGTCTATTAACCTCTTCTGTCTCTTAACGTTTTCTAATTGTCCACTTGCTAAGATCATGCTCCGAGCCATCATTGCTTTTGATGTCACACCCGCACATGTTTCTGTTGGTCTGTGTTTGTGTGTGTGTGTGTTTGTTTGTGTGAGTGTGTGTTTGTATGTTTATTTGCTTGGGCCATTGTATATCTAATATGTTTGTAAAGTATGTGTATGTTAATGCGTATGTGTGCTTAGTTGTCAGTGGAGGTATGTCTGTTCAAGTTTATGTGTGTGTTTTATTCAATTTTTTAGTTTTACATGATGATTTTTTTAATTTGTTTGTGTGTGTCTGTGTTTGTACGTGTGTGTGTGTGTTTGTGTATGTCTCATATTAACCAGTGCACATGCATCTTTGTGTCACTCTCGATGAATGTATGGCTATTAAATGGGTCCACTAAATTTTAAGATGCACTTCAGGGTGCGTTTGATGCCATTTAAGAAGTCATTAAATAACGGATACTATGTACGTGTGTGTGTGTGTGTGTGTGTGTGTGTGTGTGTGTGTGTGTGTCGGTTTGTGTGTGTGTGTCGGTTTTTGTGTGTGTGTCTGTTTTTTTGTGTGTGTGCTTGTTGTTTGTCTGTATAAATGCCTAACTATATAAAAGTGAGTCTGTGAGTTTGTGTGCATTTCCATTAACATCTGCGTTTATATTTCAACTCTTTCAATTTATCTGCTTAATTAATTTTGTATTTGCGGTTTGACATATCCTTTTCTTTCATTTAAATTTTTTTGTAAGGGTATTCTATGAATATACACATACATATATACGTGTACAATTGTATATTGCCTTGTATTTGCTTATATACAATAGGTATTCGCCTACAAGTGAGAGTGTTTACATCTGAATATGTACGTGCAGTGTATGAACAATTTTTTGTTAGCAATCAAATTCTCAGAAAAGATCAATAGTATAATGTGACGTAACACGTCATTCATGGATGCTTCATTTGTTGTGTTAAGTTCAACATTGGAGATAATAAGTTCACGCTTCGTTTCGTTAATACGAGCTTTCAGGCTGTTGTTTGCTGATGACTAGTTGGTTGTGTTGTTGTTGTTGTTTTTGTTGTTGTTGGTGTTTGTGTTGGCGTTGTTGCTGATGTTTTATTTAAATCGTGTTCTTTTCATGACGTTTTACGTTGAATTTGTGAGTAATCTATGCCATCAGATTTGCCATTTCATTGCACAGGAAATAAGCACCACACTCACAACAGTCATCACCATACATTCATACACATCATCGCTCTCACCCTTAACACACCACATTAGTACTAAACACCATTTTAATCATCACACTGCTGCCACACCGTACCACACCGTACCACACCACACCACCATATCACACCGACCACACCACACAGAGAATACACAGTGGAGAGAAGCCATTTTGTTGCGAAGTGTGTGGCAGAGCTTTCAGACAGCCCGGCAACCTTACGAGACACAAACTCATCCATTATCCAATCAGGAATGGACAATACAGAAAAAGATTGACAACGAATCAGAGTGAATTGGGTCAATTTTCAACCCATCAAGTTCAATCATGTCAAATGCCATTCAGTGGTCAAATTTTAACCAATCAAGTGAAACTGTGTCAAGTGGCCGCAAGTCAAACCGCACTACACCAGTCAACAGCCAATAAATTTAAACCATTTCAATTGATACCCAATGAAATTCAACCAATTGAAACTCTGACCAATCCGATGTTGGCCCCCCAGGGGTGGCAGACCAATAGCATCAATTCATCAAATCAGCTTCCCAATAATTTATTTCCTCAAGAGTTTTTGCCACAAAATCCAAATAATAATGATGAAAAAAATGTTTGAAGCGACCTTTCATCTTACACACAATGTTTGATGAACTTTTTTCCTTAACTTCTCCATGCAAAACTAGTGATTTTTATTGTTAGCAAATTAAAAAATTTCACATTGAATTAATCTTAGTAAAACATAATAAACTTATGTTTATATATAGTTTATAAATTGTGTTTATATATAACCCTGCTAGGCTCAGCTCATGTTACTGATATCATTTGTTAACCGTTGTTGGTTTTTGTTGGAAAACATATGCAACCAGCATAATCAACGTATCATTTCATTAAGATGTACGCATTTATTATGCATTAAAGGTTAAACATCTGTGTCTATTTAGTAAAATTGACACATATATAAACTGTCTGAATAATTTTTATTAACTAAGCAAATATTTTTTCATTCCGATTTGTAATTTTTATATGTGCTGTTGTAATGTTGCCTAGTTAAATCTTCATTTTTATGACCAAGTGCTCTTACGATCTGTCTACTTTATTGAAAAAATTAATTTTTTTTTCATTTAAATATCATGTTAAACTTATTCGTTGAATAAAGATGTTTGTTGGAGTAATTCGACACTGCTTTTTTTGGGTACACTGCTGTGCCGTAACGAACCAAGCTTTTTGTTCATCCAGAGATAGCAAAGTTGATCATATTAAAATACAAAAAAAAAAAAACAAAAATATTATCAATACAAGTCATTATTAACTACATAAACAGACATTTATTGTTACATTAACTAATTCAATTTTATAAACTATCAAAAAATGTTCTTAGATAAAATTGAGACGACTAGACAGTAGATGATCCTCTTGAAAGAATCTGCCGACAGTAACGTGTCTCTGGATGCAGCAACCTTCATTGCAACGTTTTTGTCGTTCAGCAGCAAACCTTCCCCCGACTCACCTACATTGAACGCCGTCGCGCAAAATAACTCATTCAAACTGCTTCTAAATATAGACTGTCAGAAATAAATAATTTAATTATTATAGGTAAGTTGGTTTTTAAGAGAAAAAAACTTTTAGAAACGGATGAATTTAGTAAAATGAGCAAATCGAGAAAAATATCAAAAATTAAGTTTATTAACTTTAAGTAGATTAGTCTGAACAAGAGCCGCATTGGTACCGCAGTGTTTTGTAACAAGGACATTAATGCACTGGATGAACTTGGTGGCCAGAGAGCAAAGTTCATTGGCCACAACATCGAGATCATCCGCGCTTGCTGACATGCTACTAATTTTGTCGTAAGCTTTCCGCCAGTCACATTCGTTCACTATCAGAACTCCGTTGTAGATTGTTTGAAAGCAATTCTGTGTGAGTAGTGGTTAATAGATTTTCGATAAATACCTCTCAGTTGTTCATTTCAGAAACAAATAATTTATTATAAGTATTATTTAGTATAATTTATATATATATATATATATATATATATTTATATATATAATAAATATATAATAAATAAAATAATAAAATACTAGAGAACCGAATGCTGTTTGTACGACATCTTCAAGTCATAACATATCTGCTTCCAAAAACTCAACAACGGTTTGATAACGTTTTGAATGACAGGATTGCAAGAAAGGATGAAATATCCGAAACATAATTTAATTTCCTCTAAATTATTCGAACACACAATAGAGTCAAACTCGTTGATATTTTCTATGATTGTGAAACCGAAGTTGATAGAATGGAGAAGGCGTAAGAGAAATGGAAAACACATTCTGACAGTGGGGCAAACAACTTTCACATATTCTCCGTCGATTTCTTTCAAGTCGTTACAACTGGATAATGAACTCAACTGACCCGAGATGACGGCGTGTATTGGGAAGAGGTTGAAGAGTTTCTGCTGCTGCTCAATATACGCCAGGAACCATTTTGAAAGTTCTGAATTGCCGACAGCAGTCAACAAATGTTCAATGCAAAATATTTTTGTTGCCTCTTCAATTCGGTTGCAGAATGATTGCTCTAATACGTTTATATCGCGTTTGTCCTGTCTGTTCTGAGATGCTGTCTTATTGAAATAAACAATTTGTTGTGGATAAAGTGTGTAGCATTTCTTAAAGATGGATTTGTTCAGTGGCTTTGTGTGCAGCTTCGTATAATCACTACTGCAAAAATATTTGTAACTGTTGAAGGTAGCACTTAATTTCTTCCTGGACGGACAAACTTTGATGATTTCTTTCAAACATTTATGAGCTTCTGGGAATTGGTCACACATAGTTTTAAATTTTGTTTTGTCAACATTTATAAAACCTGCAAAATGAAAGATGTAGTTTTAAAAAACTAATTTTTAAAAAAGCACATTGAAATCACAAAATTAATGGAGAATTTTTTAATTTTTGTATATGCATAAAATAATTACAATTTTTAACTACTTAGCCACCTGCAAATCCATTCATTTCATTTTGGAACATATTTATACATTTCGCACTAGCAAAATCTTCACAGGAAAATGCTTTATGGAAAATATTTTCAAAAGTATCTTTGCTAAATGTGCAGTAATACGGTGTAATGCTTTGTTTTGGACTGAAACCATTTGCACGGGTATTTTCAGAATGGAAAATGAATTTAGTAAGTGTTGGAAGCGTGCCAAAGTCACACGAGGGATGAACATGTTTGGTTGCTGTTTCGTTCGCTGAAAAGATGACCGTCATGTTAAAAAGAGGCGACTCATCGCTAAGATCTGGGATTTTCAACTTTGAAAAGTTTTCTGAAGTTATCATGAGTTTGCAAGTTGTTAGGTTATAGGAATCCGCTTCTAAGCTGGCTCTCAAGATAGTAGACCATCTCTTCGTTGAGAGTGTTGAATCGAACCTGCCAGAGAGTTTAAGATTTCATGGTTAGCATGGTTTCTCAGACATATGATTTTTCAGCTACATTTGAATATAAATTTTGTAAAAATTATTGAAAATGTGGGTAAAGCTACAAAAACGTACAATTATTCTATAAGAATGCCAAAGCAAAAAAATTAAAAAAATGTTTAATTCATTACTTAAATTTGAATATAAAGTTATACAGATGTGAGAAAAAGACAATCTTCATTTACTTTTTAACATATTCAACAATGTTGTTTTGTTGAAATTTTTTGAACGGGCAACTCCAAACGGTCGTCAGAGAAGTGAAGCCTGTTTCCTGCAGCTGACATTCTTGCCTGAAAAACGTTCCAATGAGAAGGGAGCTGCAGTTGCTGACGCTTACGACGGTCAACGTGGCCCCACCCTTCCTACCCATTCCCTCCAAATCTGAAATTTGACATGCGTAGATGCCAGCGTCCTGGAAGGAAACTCTCTTGATCTTCAAATTGTACACAAACAGGTCGGCATATGAAAATTTGATGATGTCGAATTTTTTGAAGTATTTCTTGTGCTTCACACTTGAACCCCGCGAGATGTGGATCGGCTGGGATGACGCGGAATTTTTAAAGAACCAGTCTACCTAGTGAATCATTTCAAATTTTATTGGCAACAAGCGAATGATTTTCAATTGTACATTACGTACGGCCTGAGCGTATAATTGCGTGTTCACTTCGTCATCTGATTCAAGCTTGAATCGTACAACATCGCAAATGACTTTTTCATTATGCATTTATTTATAAACTAGTTGATTGATTGGTTGATTGATTGATTGATTTACATCACAAATTCATTTTACTCAATTTAATATATGACATCTAAAAATCATTTCAAAAACTTTTTATTTATGTTTTGACGATCACCATTTTTGCATCAAACGTTTACAATTTACTTGTGAAATATACTACAATTTGACATATGAACTACAAGAGACTTTTAAAAAACTCACAAAAACTCCCTTAGAGTAAGTTGAGCATTCGAATATGACAGACTTGCCCTCTATACCTACCTTGTTACGGGGTTTCCAAAATATTTGACAGCCCCCCGTCGTCATCATCAAGAAAAATACAAAAACCGAGCCGGTGGCATTGGTTCTAATCAATTTAAAACTCATTTTAATTACTTTTGTTTTGCTTTTATGTGTGCTATAGTTATTTAATTTAATCAATTTACAATTTTGATACATACTTTTATAATTTTTAGCTGTTTGTTTATTTGTTGATGTTATTTCATTTGTTTATTTTACGAATATTCAACAGATTGTTTGTGACGTCGATCACACTGATGCTACTATTTGACTTTTGATATTTCAATTTTTAAATATAATTATAAGAAAATATCTTGAACAATTCCCAACAAAATTTTGTTAGCGTGAAATGAACAAAGTGACACATGTTAACAACTCGCTTATTGGATTGACATTTAGAAATTCCATTCGTAAGCTGAGCCCGGTTCGATTACAGGCTGGCCCAACTTTAGAAGAATTAATGTTTATGTGGTTGAACAGTGGAGGCGTAGAAATGTTTTTACGATGCACGTAAATAAAGTATATGATGAAATTTGAAACGTGTAGAAATGACTTCTGAAAATTCTAAAATATATCACTATTTTGGAAAGGTTAATGGTTAAAAAAGGTTTAAAAATAAAAAAATAATAATAAAATAGTATAAATTAAACAAATGAAATAACTTTAACAGTGTAGTTATCACCAAAATGACCATATAAATTCCTGATCAAAATAGCCACGTTTCATATATTGCTGTTACTCTGGCTATCACAATTATGCTGTTAACCATCATATCATATCATCACATCCGTAATCACTATAAATAACATCACGTTAATCATCGCTATCATACTGGTCATCATCATCATCTTGGTCATCATTGTAATCATCTTCTCCGTCATCTTACTCACCTCGCGAACCGTCATCTGTTGAGGCCATTTAATAAACTCCAGCAAACATTCTATTAGTTCTACCTTTAAAACCTTACCTTCCGCACACACACGCAAACACACACACACACAAGCACGCACACAAACACACACACACATAGAGGCACACATACACATTATTTTATACAGACATACCTTAAAACAAACACATACACACATATATACATTAGTTCACCTTATATATGCATATATATACATGTCAATGGTTATATATATATATATATATATATATCATATATCAAATAGATATCATATATCAATATCAGATAGATGCTTATATATACCGTTTAGATGCATATATGTATGTATAGTGTCCACTTTATGACTATTGATTTCCCTGGGTGTACGTGTGTGTATATATGTATACAATGCATATACAAATACATACATTGTATACATTGTATATACAAATACATACATTGTATGCATTGTATATACAAATACATAAAATGTATATATACATTGTATATACAAATACATACATTGTATACATTGTATATACAAATACATACATTGTATGCATTGTATATACAAATACATAAAATGTATATATACATTGTATATACGCCTACAGATGGTTGACTGTACGTACAGCAAGACTTCACACAACCCTGGAGGTCTGATCGTCTTTGCCTTGTTAAGCTCGTTTTGGCTTCCTTTAATTTATATTAAATGTATTGTTTTTCATTTATTTTCATTATTTAGTGTGTCTGTTTATCCATTAATTGCAATATAATTGTGATTTTGATTTATTTATTTAGTTATTATTTAATATATTTGTATTCTGTTTTTTCTTTTCCTAGTTCTTTTTTCTTTCTCAATCTTTCTATTTCTCTTTTTCTTCCTCTTTTTATTTCATTCTATTATTATATTTGTGTTTTAATCAAAAATTCAAAATTAATCCTTAATTTCCACTAGGTGGCTATTAACCATGGGACGTTCATTTAAGCAGCTTAATGTAAAAAAATTAAAAATCCCTTCCTCCATTCATTCGTTCATTCATCCAATCATTTATTCGTTCGTTTGATTATTCACTAACTCGCTAGAATAGAGAAAAACATAATGAAAACATATCTATATAATGAATTACATATTGCTTATAAAATTATCAACGAAATAAATAACGATTCAAAACTATACAAATATGCAAATAGAATCAACGAAAAACCCACAAATAATACCAGATTGAACAAACGCATTTACAGATGATAGAATCTTTTTTTCAAACTGAACGAAAACAAAAATCATTCAAATAAATTTGATGAGATGAAAGCGTTAAATCTTACTTAAACCAGCAATCAGCGATTTGCAGGGACTGCCCGCCCGCAAGACAAATTATGTTTTCAATTGGAATTATTCAACGCATTTACATGTGTTTGAATAAATGTCAATAGCTTGGATTTCATGGTGCACGTAGTTAATTTTTATTTTTTTTCCTTGCGATGAATTTTTGTGAATCAATGTTTAAATAATCTAAAGAAAATTATTTAACAACTTTGCCGTAAGCAACAAGAGAAAAATTGAAAGGAATGTCTTTATCCATGTGTATATATTGTACATACCTTGATAGTTTGCAATTGATACATCTGAACAATACTAAAAAAAGACTTTTTAAAAATATTAACAACCACAGTAACAGCAATAACAAAAACAAAAATAATAATAACCAACAAAACATTAAAAACAACAACAACAAAAACAACAAACTCAGTAACAAAACCATCATCATACACACAGCGTAAATTCAACAAAACATTATGCACGGACAGAAAAAACATGATGCTTAAGGCGAACTAATGATATTTGATCATAATCATCCCTGTCATCCTACTCTTCCTCCTCCTCATCATCGTCGTCATCATCATCATAATCATCATCATCAACATCTTCATCATTATCGCTATCGTCATAACTAACAGTGTCATCGTCGTCATCATCATTCACATCATCGTCATTTTCATCATTATCACTATCATAATCAAAAACTTCATCATCTTCATCATCGTCATTATTATCACTATCATCATCACCGACATCATTATCATCCTCGTCCTCATCATCATCGTCATCTTCTCCATCATCATCATCATCATCATTATTTTATTATTATTTTATCTGATGAGATTTTTTTTTTGTTTCAAGTTTGTTGACGCTTAATGCTTTTTGCAGGCATGGCAACAGTCATGTGAGAGAGATAGAAAGAAAGAGAGAAAAAGAGAGAAAAAGAGAAAAAGAGAAAGAGAAAGTGAGAGGGAAAGAGAAAGAGAAGAGAGAGATAAAGAGAAAGAGGAAAAAGAACAAAAATTGTAGATTTCGTTTTTCAGTTCTAGTTTTCTTTAAATAATCAGACAAATTATTTGCTATTACGATTTTCTAAAATGAAAAAATTTCTTGTTATAGAAGCGTACCTCTTAAGTGCTCACGTAAATTTAATATTGATAATGATGACGACGACGACGACGATGATGATGATGAAAATGATGATGATACTGATGATGATGAGAATATTAAAGAAGATGAAGATGAATAATTTTTTTAAACTAACCGGAATTATGATTAATAAACGATAAAAGTTTCATTCATTCTTGACGGTGTAGAGAGCATTATATATGAGTAAGAAAATAAAAAATGATGACCACAAAACAGTAGCGATATATAAAATGAAAATATGATGATGCAATGCTGACGTCACAGAAAGTGACAATAATGATGAAGAACTTTGGTATGGAGCAGTAATAAAAATATACTTCTGAAAAACAATTTTTAAAAAACTAAACAAATGCTGACGTTAAAATCACATTACAATATCCTCAGATAGAAATAGATGAATCAACCCAAAATAATGACTGTGACAAAGGTCTCACATATATAATAGTGATAATAACAAATGACAAATGATGATAATTTGTATGAAAAGGACGAAAGAACGATGGGAATGATAACAATGAAGACGACATAGTGAAGATGTGATGAAGATGATAACAAGGAAACAACAACGTCGACACGGTAACGATGATGAAGATGAAGATGTCAAGAACCATTCATTCGCTGCCTATATAAGGCACAGCACTGCAAACATTCTGTCCATTCGTTAGAATATAACATGCATTTATGAACGCTTTGCTTTTTCTTGCTTTTTAAAGGAATTTAATTAAATCTTATTATTTAAAGTTTAATAAGTTTTGTCTTTGTTTTTAAATTTAAATGTTAAATGTTATCGATATATTCTTATGGTCAAATGTTCGATTAAAATAGTCTTCTATCTCTTTGATTACTCTCAACTACAACTGACAAAAAGGTAAATATATAAGTTGTTTTAAAATAATTGTCAATGGTTTTTTAAAATTTAGTCATTTTTCTTCTAAATTTTTCATTATTTCGGTGTATAACTTCAGTTTAATACATAAAATATCATGTGTTTGATCGCATTATTCGATTAAAAACTCAAATACGTCTAATGTCTTGTATATTTTCTGGCTTTTTTTTAAGAAAAAAGTCATATGACGTATGGCATCAGCAAAGATTAAAATAATAAAAAAAAATTATAATTAGAAGATAATCACGTGATGTGATGACGATCTTACTGACAAATTATAAGAAAATGGTTGTTGTTGTTGTTCTTCTTCTTCTCGTGCCTTATCTCTATTGGCAACAATCGACCCCCACAAAACCCAATCTTTAAAACTTTGTAGTAGTTGAAATGTGGCGATGTTCAACAAGTGACACAAGGACATCACGGATGTTATTCGTTATTTTTATAAAATGGTTATCATTACGTTAATAAAACGATGATGATGATGACGACGATGATAAGAATGATATTAATGAGTAAAACAAATCTAAGAGCCGGCATTAGATTGGCATCAAAGTTAATTAACTCTAATTATCAGTAATTAATTTTAAATACGCCGCTAGGTAGCACTGACGTCTTTAATTAGCTTTTTTTTTACGTTTTTCAACTTAATCAGCAAAAAAGTTAGGAGTAGTTCCTTTCCGAAAAAAATTCTATTTTTGTGAAATCTATCCAGATTGAATAGTATATACATTTGAAGAATATGAAGCAAATTTGGCTTTTCGAATGTTAGTTTCAAGCTCATTTAATTCTCAACAACTTTTTTTTCAGAGTAATCAAATAATTTTTTTACATAAAACAGTTTAACAAAAAAATAACGATAAATATATTGTGTGTAATATTGGTATAACAAATAAGTTTTTTGTACAGTGCTCAATATAATGTTCAAATAAACTAACAAACCATTGTACTGCTTACAAAGAAACAACATTTAAAAAAAATTTATCCTTCAAATTAAACAAAACTTAATTTTGTCAAAAAAAAACAATTTTTTTACTTTCTCTCCCTCGATGCAAACTAAAAACTCGTTTAAAATACAAATTACATCCTCAGGCACGACGTAACAGTCTTTTCAAATGAGCGGATTTGCATAAGTAGATGAATTGAAAGCGCTCTTTATATGTTTTATATGTTACACTACACTGCACACACGCAGACACACATACAGACACACGTACAGACACACGTACAGACACAAACAAACACACAAACATTTACACAGAGAGACGCTCACAAACATACATTTTTTATTTTTCTAGCATCAACCTGCACTGTTTAAAATGCACGAAGGGTCTGCAAGCATACATGCGTAGATAATTTTCATGTATATTTAACTGTTTAATGCATTACAATTCCCGGACGAGTATAATGAAACACAGAAAATTAGTTGGAAAAAGATAATTCTGCTTTTATCTTTAGTAGGTATAAACTTTGAAACTTTTATCATCAACACACACATGAAAATATCAGTTGTATATGTAAAAAATACGCTTTAGCGGAATATTCCATCCCTATATTTTTTAAACATGTTGAATGTTGATATATTATATATGTCAATATATTGTTGGTGGCAATAAGAGGTTAAAAATAGACCAATGAACAGACAATATCAATACAATATCAGTGCGACAAAAAAA